CTGGGAAATTAAAATGGCAGAAGGCTTCCCAGACACCATCCATTAAAGCCACTACTAGGTAAACAGGCAGGCTGAAGAGCCAAAGCAGACATCAGTGTTGGTGAGGCCAAGGCAGGCATCAACATCAGTGGGCCCTGCCAGAGTGCTGAGGGCCCAGCAATTACCCCTGGGTGCTGGGTGTTGGGTGCCAGAGTTGGACCTATAAGAAGCTCAGAATCAGAAGCTTTGGATTTTTTCAGACAGTGAATCGGTTATTTCATACAGAGGAATGAACTTTCATTTACTGGGAGGGAACAAGGCAAAAGAAATCTAATAAATAAGGATGGCTAATATTATCTAGAGTCTATCTCATGTAATGAAATTACACTGAACTCTTCAGTAGTGCCACATGATCCTAAAGTCTGCCCGGCAGCTACTTGGAAGACAGCATTTAGCCTGATGGCATTTTGTGGAATATACTCCATATGGATGCATTGCATTGTGCATCGACAATCTGTGGTTTTGGACAAGTACTAAAAACGGTTATTTTTAGGCAAGCCCTCAGGGAATAGCAATGCAGTACACTTCTGAAAACCTATTGTTGTGTATCACAAACGGAGAGAAGTCTGTTACGCTCAGGTCCTGCTTCTCAGCTTCCTACAGGCATCTGGTTGGTCCCTGTGAGAACAGGATGCTGGACTAGATGGGCCACTGGCTTCATTCAGCAGGACCCTCCCTGTGTTATTGAATATACCACTTTGCAACTTTGATGTTACCCATTTATGCCTTTCTGTAAAGAAAAGAAATACCCCAATAAAGTTTACATGAATTCAATTGTTACATATATAAAAATGTTTATTTTCTGAGCTATATCTATTAAAAAAATGTCTTTCTTTATATTTCTATGACAATGTGACAGTCTGCATATTTTTTCTAAGCCTGCATAATGAAACTTTCCTTTTGGTGGTTTTCATTTTGAACTCCCCCCCCCCCCAACTGATGAAAATTAAGATACAGTGGTACCTCGAGTTAAGTACTTAATTTGTTCCGGAGGTCCTTTCTTAACCTGAAACTGTTCTTAACCTGAAGCACCACTTTAGCTAATGGGGCCTCCTGCTGCTGCCGCGCTGCCGGAGCACGATTTCTGTTCTCATCCTGAAGCAAAGTTCTTAACCTGAAGAACTATTTCTGGGTTAGCGGAGTCTGTAACCTGAAGCGTATGTAACCTGAAGCGTATGTAACCCGAGGTACCACTGTCTACTTGGGGACCTTACGGTGCAACAGCTTGCAACTCCGTATCTAAGACTGTGGATAGTTTTTAACTATTGTTTTAGTGGAACTGTGAGCCACTGTCGGGATGCAGTGAACTGTCACTTGTCTTTCCTGAGGCAGTGATCCAGCGTGGCAACTGTCTCTGGCACCCATTACTGACATCTTGCAAGACCACGAGAAATCTGGAAGCATCAAGAGCCACCAGGACGGTCCATGACAGTGGGGTCAGCTACTGTCCTGGGAGCTTGGCCAGGAAGCCAGGAGGGACACGGAGAAAGGAGAGACGAGGAGGATAATAGAGAGGAGAGGAGAGGAGTGTGTAAATGGGTAGCAAGTAGAGAAAGGTAAAGATGTCAGTTTCGCTTTCTCATTTTTCCATTCTTAAGTTCATCTTGCTCAGTATTGCATTTAGCCTATTCTGGACCAATGGGTTGGCTCAAGCCCCATCTGCAGCATAACAACTCTCAGCACCCTTAACAGACTACAGTTCCCAGGGTTCTTTGGTATGGTACTGCTTTCAGACTGTAGTCTGTTAAGGGTGCTGAGAGTTGTTAGAAGACACCTATTCCCCGCACAGAGCTGCAATTTTGAGAGTTACCTGGGAAGAGTGGTTGAACGTTAAACCACGCTGAGAATTGTAGCTCTGTGAGGGGAGCAAGGAGAGAAGGCTTTGCATGGATAGTGTAGATGGGGCCTCAGTAGAAGGCAGCTTCCATGTCCCTGTGCCACAAATTTGCATAAGATTTGGCAGAGCTGATTTATATGTACAGATGTGAATTTAGAAGTAATCACTAGAGTCTAAAACAAAAACAAAAAGCAGTGCATTTCTCCACAGTGAAGAAGACTGACTTACTCTGCTACCTGTTGGGGGCAACTTCAAGGCCCCCCCCTTCTCTTTTCTTATGATTCTTGATCTTTAAATCAGGCTTGGCTGGGACAGCCCTTCAAATCAAAGGCTCCTTCTAATCATAGAACTGGAGAGCTGGAAGGGATCCAGAGGTCATCTTGTCCAGTGGAAGCCCTTCCAAAAGTAATTTCGGATATGTGGCATCCTACATATGGAGAAGTTTGAAGGGAATTGCTTTGCAATATTGTGACTTCATAGCAGGGGTGTGCACAGAACACTCCAGCAGCTGCAATTCCACTAGCCAAATTTGCTTTGTGCTTGAAAAATGCTTACATGTGCACACACACACATGCAAAATCTTGTCACTGAGATAATATCATTATAAAAAGAGACAAGGTCAAACGTTTTGTTTTCATTGGCTTGGGTTTAAGGTACAAATCCTGCATAACCTGTTTTCATTTTCTTCAAATTATTACTACACACTGACCTGACCATAGAATGCAAAAGCTAAGAAATGATTACTACGAGAGAGAGAGAGAGAGAGAGAGAGAGAGAGAGAGAGAAATTGAGCTAAATCATGGGTAGGCAAACTAAGGCCAGGGGGTCGGATCCAGCCCAATCGCCTTCTTAATCCAGCCCGCAGACGGTCCGGGAATCAGTGTGTTTTTACATGAGTAGAATGTGCCCTTTTATTTAAAATGCATCTCTGGGTTATTTGTGGGGCATAGAAATTCATTCATTTCCCCCCAAAATATAGTCCAGGCCCCCCACAAGGTCTGAGGGACAGTGGACTGGTCCCCTGCTGAAAAAGTTTGCTTGACCCCTGAGCTAAATGCATCGAGAGTACTTTGAATAGTGAAAACATCCCCTAACCATTGCAAATACAGCCCAATTTATTTCCATATCAGTTGCTTCTAAAAGGAAAGATAACCTATATCCTAAATACATAATTACACACCAGACTCCAGCAGTCACCCTGGGAGAAGCATTCAAGTCTAACCAATATGCATTTTGAAAAACAAGTCCAAACAAGTGTTGAGCAAATATTCCTTGCATGATGCAAGCTTTGGAAGAGTGCCTTCATACTGTTTCACATTTATTTATTTATTTAAGAACAGCATTTCAAAAAATCTTTGCCCAGTTCTTTTTCTTTTTTAAAAAGATATCATAGAGAAAACTTGCAGTCCAGTCCCTTGGACATAAACCCCGTTAAGCTAAATGAAGCAAACTCTCAGAACTGCGTATAGGATTGCAACCCAAGTTAAGTACTACAGTCCCCATTCATTTTAATGGATGAGCTTTGTATTTGCACAACTCTCTCCTATCAATATTAGTGAGGACTTAAAAGTGCTGGTGTTTGGCTGGATCATGCCCTTTTTGTGGTTAATAATGCAGTAGATAAACAGGAACAGTTCTAGGCATAAGCTTCAATAAGAGTGTTAAGCAAATGATCGCTCAGGTGTGCTCTAAAGACTGCTTCCTCTTATGAGAGCCTCCTTGGCCATTAGATTATCTGGGGTGGGGTTTTCAGGTTGCCTTCCTTGGACTGAGCAAGGCCAGCATTCACAAGAAGCAGGAGACTTTTAGTGGTGGCACCTTTCTTGTGGAATGCCTACCACATTAGCCCCCTTCACACCTTACTTGTGTGAGAAGGGCATCATGCAACTACGGAGGACCAGGACTGCATCCCTGACCTACCCCTTGGTATAAGGCAATTTCCTATGTTTCAGTTAAAAAAAAAAAAAGGGTTTAGAACACTCCTGACTTAAACCACAAACCTCCACATTTTTAGTCTGAATTGCATTCAATAGAATTTACTCAGTAAGTCTATTTAGGATTGCAACCCTAATTATGGGCTCTACCTAATTATGCACCAGCATGGTTCACCAGTGCAACAGGACTTCAGTTTCCTTTCCTCCCCCCACAAATCTGCTTTGGAGGGGCCCCATAGCTGATTTTGAGGGTGCACAGGGATGGGGAGCTGGAAGGAAGATGAAGCTCTATCACATGCATGGAAATCCACTCTGCTAGTGGAGCTGTGGCAATGGATACAATCCTACCAGGATATATATAGAATAATAGATACTTAAAATTCTGTATTGTAAATACCAAGTCGCTTCCCTATTTTAAAGGTGTACAAAATTTCGTTTCATTCCTAGCTCGCATGGCTGGCTCTTGGGGTGAGCCTCGGCCAGCTGTAAGGTTTAGCCTAGTGGCACCTCTGGCACCCAGCACACCTCCCTTTTGCTTACGGCATAATTTAATCTGGATTATGTGAGCTAATTGGATGATACGGACTAATTGGATTAGTGGAGTACCTAGCAAATCACATTAGAAATTGTTAACATTCTTCCATTTCTCAGCAGGAGGAACAGCTACTAACTGGGCTTCCTGGAAATGTCTGCAGTCTGATTATTTTTGGGAAATGATACCGCTTAAATCATGTGTTGCCACCAACACCACGAGGACTCTGAACCAAGCAAGGCTTGCCTATTGCTGGGCATGAAACGGGACTCATGTAGCTGAGGAACTGACTGGGCCGGAGCCTAACCGTTTAAAAGTTCCATGCAATGTGTTCCACAAATGGAAAGATACCCCAGAAATGGAAGAGTCTAAACAGGTTTTCCAATATCAGATTGTGAGTTTCAAAATTGGACTTTGAGGAGAGAATATTCAAAAGTGCATTTAAAACGTTTTGCTTTGTATTTAACATTATTGGATATTTCATGTTTAAATCTTCCAGTTACAGTGCAAATCTAAACATGCCTATTCAGAAGTAATTTCCATCATAAGGAACATTGGAAGCAGCTTTATATTGAGTCAGTCCCTTGTTCCATCTAGCTCTGCATTACAACACTGACGGGCAGCTGGTTTTTTATAGGGGGTCTCTCCTAGCCCTTTCTGGAGATGCCAGGGATTGAACCTGGAACCTTCTGCATGCAAAGGAAGTGCTCTAACCCTGAGCTATGACCCTTTCCTGAATGGGACATTCGAATGGGATTACTCTCAGTTAAGCGGGTTTAGAAGATGTCTGGGATTGTACTGAAGAGGAGGAGGAATGGTGGAGCTCTCCCACTCCCCTTCTCCTGTAGCTTCCAGACAGGATGGAGGCAGTCTTGAGTTACAGTAGAGCTTTGAGGATGATAGCAGCTCAGAGACAGGCAAACAGCAGAGTGTTAGGAGGAGGAGGCAGAGCAGGCAGCTGACACGTCACTGGAGAGCATAACCGATCCCCCTTCTCCCAAAACGTGGGGTTTGTTAAGGGTGCTAGAACAAAGAAGACAGAGACGATTGTCCACGGACAGATGCCGTAGAAGCAGGTGTTGTTGCTAGAGAGGGAAGGGGGAGGAGCTCAGTGCGAGCAACTCCATTATGGAGGAATGACAGGAATTCTTTGTCTTTTACTGTGATGACTGAATAAATCATACGTAAGAACTTTCTTCTTTCCTCCCTGCCTTTTGGTGCCATTGGGGGAAAGGAGAGGATTCCTCAAGCCTGACAGAATAGTGTAATCTAAACCACACATTGAAAGGTGACCGAGGGTCAATAGGAAGCAACGTAAGTGCTGCTCCAGAGCAGTGTCAGATGTTTGACGGCAGAATGGCACACACACCATCAGAAGTCCTCTGCTCCACAAGCTGGTAGAAAGTTCCACCAGTGTAGATATTCTGCCAATGGAGCGGAGGGGAAAGGAGTGCAACAGGATCATGGCAGAGGCAGGCATGGATTCACCACATCCAATAGCCCTTCATGGTTTATATTGTTACAAGCCCCGCTTTCCAGTGCCTGCTCTGGAACTAGTTTCCTTGAATTGAAAGTCACTGGGACTTATGGCCTTAAGGTTTTAATTACACATTTGCCTACCCCAGGCATAGGCAACCTCCGCCGTCTAGACGTTTTGGGACTACATTTCCCATCATCCTTGACCACTGGTCCTGTTAGCTAGGGATCATGGGAGTTGTAGTCCCAAAACATCTGGAGGGCCAAGGTTGCCTGTGCTTGGTCTACACTGAGCATAAAATGGAAAGTTCACAACTTTAGCACATCCTACTCTCCCATTAGGTTTCTAAGGGTTGCCAATGCCACAGCAGTCTATTGTTCTCTTTCACACAACAGATACCTTGATGGCATCATCTACTGCCAAGAGAGGGGAGAGGACAAAGACATGACCCTTTCCAGAAGTGTCTACAGTCATTTAGTTTCTATATACAGGTTGGTAGCCATGTTGGTCTGCCGTAGTCAAAACAAAACAAAATAAATAAAAAATAAAATAAAATAAAATAAAAAATTCCTTCCAGTAGCACCTTAGAGACCAACTAAGTTAGTTATTGGTATGAGCTTTCGTGTGCATGCACACTTCTTCAGATACCAAGTTTCTATAGCAACTCATCACCCATACCTGACCCTCTCTTTAGTTTTACAAAGGCCTAGTCTCCCAACGAAAGGGAATCTGCCAAGCTTCTCCATCCCATTTGACCTATTGGGCAGTCTCTTTTCATGGCCAGGGCTATAGGGTTGGCAGGGGGGGACCCCAGAAACTGATTTAGTCCAACCTTGGTCTCATTACAATATTTTAGAATGTAGGTGAGTGTCAAAGCTCATCTTTGCAGCAAGTTGTCTAAGCCAGGACTTGTTTTCATTTTGCATTCCAAACTCCACACAAATGTGATTGGCAATGTTTTATATAATCACCTGTTTTTGAAGCAATGCTGCTGTACTGCAGCAAATCTTTTCTTCTTCTTTGCTGAAACATGCAGATAATAAGCAAGTGAAAAAGAAGATACTCCCCCAAACTAGTTGTGATTCTTTCTTGTCTCTTTTTGGTAAATAGCCTGCAACTGACAAAAGAAAAAGAAAAAGTAAGCAGGTAACAAAGAAATACAGCAGTACAATACAAACTCCCTGATGCCTATGCTGGATCACAGATGGTTACCTGCTTTTCTTTGAAATGTGTGCATTTTTTTCCTTGTGAAACTCTTAGGTTCCATTATTATTAGGCTTTGCCATTTTATATAGAATCCAACATAACAGGATTGACAATACTAGCAAAGCCCAGACCTTGGAATATACAAAATGAATAATGGGGGAGAAATGATATTGGTTTATCAGTTTATATTTGTCTACAGTAGTAGTAATAAAATATCTATCTTATTGCTACCTGCAACAGTAGAATGGTGTTCTTTTGTGCTCTTGGTTATGGACTATTTCAGTGAATAGCGATAAAGCCAAAATAGACATCAGAATGCTTAAGCCCCATTTTTCTTCTCTCTCTCTCTCTTTAAAAAGTATGTTTACAGCTTTTCTCTCTTTATTCTTGTACACATTGCAGCATTTCCTTTCATAATAAGGCCATTGCGAAGGAGGGGGGGGAAACCTGGTTAGCTCTGGTTAATAGATGATTATTGAAATTAGATGGCTCTGATGGGCACATCTCAAAATAGACATTCTGGAGCTGGCAACTCTAGAAAAAGGGCACCAAAGTGATCAAAGGGCTGGGGCCACTCCCCTTTGAGGAAAGTTTCAATGTCTGAGGCCTTTTGGTTTAGAAAAAAATGCAAGTAAGTGGGTGCATAATGGAGGTAAGATTATTCACAGAGCAGTTAAAGTAGCTAGAGATATCCCCCCCCCATAATACTAGAACCTGGAGTCGTCCAATGAAACAAAAGTGAGTTCTCAGAAGATATGCATTGTTAATATACTGTGCCTAAAATTATACCTAAAGAACAGAAAGCTTTGCCTACCAGAATCCAAGGTAATATTCCTGCTCCGCATAAACAGCCTTCATATTGGGGTTTATTAGAATGGATTCATTGGTTCCTAAGTGGGCAGGTATCACAGGTGTATCATAGAGGAGGCACCAAGCCTGCAGCTTGTGAGTATTAGGTGCCAAGGAACCCAGTTTAAAAAATACAAAAGTTTATGCAGCACCAATAAGGACAAAAGAAGTGAATGGGGGAAATTATTGGGTGGTGGGACAATTTAGTTTTGAAAACTAGAAAATGATCCTTGGTCACTGATTGTGAATATGTGTTTGTTGATGCCCATGGAGTGACTGAGTTGCATCGAAGAACACTTAGAATATGGAAATGTCACTGGATTACTATAACGCATTGTGCCCAGGGCTGCCTTGAAAACAGTTTGGAAACATAATTCGGTCTACAATAGAGCAGCGAGATTGCTAGCAGGACATGAGCATATAATGCCACTGCTTTATCATCTGCATTGGCTTCTAGTCATGTAATATGTTGGTTTAAAATCCTAAATAATTTGGGGCCTAGTTACCCAAAGAATCACTTCTATTGCAGTACAGCTTGAGTTCAAGTAATGCTGCAAAGAATAAACGTGTCACCTGACGTCGTGGTGACATCATGTGACTGGCAAGTTTGGGGCCCCACCAACTTTTCAAAATGCCAACCCATGGGGGTGCTACGGATCCATCTACACTACAGGCTGAAAAGTTTCAGCACCCCTTCTGTAAGCATTTCTGGATACATGGACCCAGTGCTTTTTTTCTAAAAAAAAATATTTAGGGGTGCTCTCATTTTCCTACTCATTGAAAAACTGCCCCTCAATGAGGCCAAACTTAGAATCACAAAATGTTTAGGGGTATGCAGACCCAGGGGCGTAGCAAGGGGGTGCAGTCCGCCCCAGGTGTCATCCTTGAAGGGGGTGACAAAATGGCACACCGCGGGGGTTGGCACTTACTTGGGGGGCCTGGCCTGCAGCGTACCTGAGCCACATATCTCTCCTGGGCATCCACCAGGCAGGCTCCATAGGCAGCTCACCACGCTGTCCCCTGCCCCTACCCCTCTGGGTGTCGGAGCAGCTATCTATGCCCCTGTGCATACCCCTGCATACCCCCATAAAAAAGCACTGTATGGGCCACATCCACAAATTACATTAAAAGCATTCATATGTAGTCTTGGCTTCATCCAAATATCCTGGGACCTATAGTTTCTAAAGATGCTGAGCATTGTTAGGAGACCCCTGTTCCCCTCACAGAGCTACAATTTAGAGTAGTTTATCAATCAATCCTTCTTCCCAAGAAACTCTGGGAATTGTAGCTCTGTGAGGGGAATAGGAATTTGTAACAATGTTCAGCATCCTTAGCAAACTACAGTTCCCAGGATGCTTTGGGGGAAAACTATGACTGTTAAAAAGGTATCAGAATGCTTTAAGCATAAGGGGTGGGTGTAACCAGAGTTCACTCAATTAAAAAATACTTTCGTAGGAATGTACTTTAGAAATAAAGACATCGTGGTTGTTTTGCTCCCATGAAAGCAGTTTAGTACCTCTTTGCAAATAACAGCATATACTATATCAAAAATGCTAAAACTCTGATTCCAGCAAATTACACAGCTAGTTAAATCTTAATTTCAATAATGCTCTAAAGCACCACTAATAAATCTTTGAGCTATTGCCTTCGTTTCGTACACAGACCACCAAATCAGATGCAGTGTAATGTGGAATTTATAAGTCTATTATTTTTCTGTTTGAGCTTAACCATGGCACCCAACAAATGCGACTGCCCCCGTTATTTCCAGTCCCTTCCTTGGTGGCACAGAAATATCAAGCAAGCTCCACGTGATCTGAAAGTCAAGCTCTGCTCTCATTTCCATGCATGTAGAAGCTTGGTGCAACTGGAGTCTGCTTTCAGAAGAGTTACACAACTTCATAATCGTATAAACAAGCACGGAATATAGCCCCACAGGTTGTAAATCTGAACTTCAGCATACATCCATGAAAGGAAAAAGCCATGAAATTGTTTTCACAATCAGCCTGGTTCTTGGGAAAGCATCTAGTATAAATATTTTAGCGCAATAATAAATGGAGGAGCATTTGTAGAAGAAACCTTGCAGAATGCATATTACCTTCTTCCTTTAAAAAAAACAAACCACCGGTGGCTTTTAGCAACATTCTCCTATTTCACAGCAAGGCGTTTGGGAGTCGCATAGGTCCCTTGCGATATTTGACCTAACCGACAACAGGCACTCGCCATCTTTGGGAATGTGCCACCAGAGCTCCATTCCATTCTTTCATTTGGTGCTTTGTGTGGCAAATATACCACATTCAAAGGCCAAGCGATTCGGAAGCAGATGCCATAAATAATTTAGGTTGCAATCCTATACTGACCCAGGCATAAATGCCACCAAATTCAATGAGGCTGACTTCCTGACAGACATATCTACCCTTGTGCTGTGCCAGATGTGCTCTTCATGGCCTGTTTCCTCATCCTAATTTCCAGGCAGGTTCTCTGGATGTCCGAACATCAGAACAAAATGAGATATTTGATCCTGGGAGGCATTCAGGAAACTGAACTGGCAGGATCCATTAGAGGGAAGATGGGGAACTTCAGGCCTGGACATCTCTATATGGCATTTGCGACTCTCCTCATACTGTGCTGCCTCCTCAAGCCACACCAGCTCTGCCCCAACCATGCCATTCATCAGCCTTGCTGCATGCCCCTCCATGAGGGCTTTTGCATGTCAGTGAAACAGGCTCCTTGCTTCAGATTTCATCCTGAAACATGTGGGGAACCTGGAGACATGCAGCAATGGAGATGAAGCTAAAGGCACAGTCTGGCAGCCCCTTTGGACTTGTGTCATTAGAGGAACAGTTTTAATTCTCCTTATCATTTTAAGCTTGTCCTAGAGCTGAACTCTGTCTAAGCAGAAAGGCGAGGTGAAGAAGAGAGAAGAAAGCAGAAAATGGAGGGTGGTATTTTCTGAGCTGCTTTGTAATATCCAAAATGGCACTTGTGTGTCTCCCCCTGAAATGGAATGTGAAAAGTATCTCTACATTTGAAGCTTGTGCTTCTCATGGCAGGGGTTCCACTTCATTACAAAGAAGAGAACAAGAAGCACAAGTCACTTAGTCATCATGTTCCCTTACAATTGGTGTGGAGATGCAGAAGGATTATGTTCCTTCCTGTTCTTAACAAACCAACTCCCCATCTATTCTTTTCTATAACAATAGCTTGCCATTACAGTCAAGCTGGGGATGGCTATGGTTAGCGCTGACCATGACAGCACTAAAACCATGGATTGGAACCATGACTTGTAATTTGGTTCTCATCAATCCTGGCCATAGCCAAGCAAAGTTAGCCCTGCTGTGGATGCAAAAGCGTCTATAGCTGCAGCCAATCAGAGAAGGGCATGTGGAATGTGCATTCCTAATCTCCAAACCATGGCTTGAGGTGACATTTGATCTAGACCACAGTCTTCTCACATTAGAAATGCCAGGTCAGGCGCATCACAGACCCTGAAATTTCAAGGCCCAAACTTGAGGCCTATGGGCGATCCATGGTGATGTCACAGGGAACAGGCCCTAGTGATGCCATGCAGCCTGGTGTTTGTTTCTCTGCACTCCCTCTCACCGCTGAGCTCTGGAAATTGATATCAATTGGTAAAGGGGAGGAGGCAGGACACACACACCCCGAGTCAATGAAATAATAATAATAATAAGCCACTCTTGTCCACCTGGGGATTTGCGTTTTCCCACCTACTACCTGGAGGGAGCCAGGTAAACCTGAAGACTTTCGGTTGGCCCTGGAGCATTTGAATGACTATTTCACCCATTCTTCAGCTCCCTTTTTTCAGAGCACTGTTTGAAAACAGCCACAAAGCCAAGCAAGGAAGAAAAATGTTACAAGCCACACTGGCATTTAAACAACGTAACAACTGTAATGACAAGAAGCAAATCCTCATTTGAGTTTCTTCCCCTTGTAGGAAAATGAGTTTCAATAATTAATGACCCTTCCAGACAACTGTTATTGGAGCAAACATCATTTGTCAAGAATGAGGTACATCTTAGAGTCAGTCATACTCAGTAGTATGGGCAGCAGAGCTGTGGCCAATTATTTATTTACCAACTTGGTATGTTAACGGGAGGCTAGATTTAGCATGGGGAGGAAACAAAACAGAGAGTTCACTGAACCGCTGAATCACTCTCTCTCTCTTTCTCTCTCTCTCTCTCTCTCTCTCTCACACACACACACACACACACACATATATCTATTCTAACTTGATTCATCAAGACTGCAAATTCCTTGTTCTTGGTGTAATAAATTCACCAAAGTAGTGAAATGGGTAGTGGCTCCATGTAAAGTTAGCACTAGGGTTCTTTATTCTGAATACTGGAGACAAATGAAAGTCCTGAATCCGAATGAATGCTTTGGAAAAGTATGAGACATGGCCACTATGACAAAGTTGATTCATAGACCCATGGTGCTGGGAGGCATCTTGGAGGCCATCTGGTCCATCTCTTGCTCAGTGAAGGATAAGTAATTCAGGATGCAGTTACAGCATCCCTAGCAGAAGGTCGTGACTGTCCACCTCTGCTTAAGAACATCCTACAATTGGCAACCATTTGTGCTCATCCTGCCCTCTGGAAACAAGAGAGAGCAAGTCTACTCCATCTTCTGCATGACAGTCCTTCTGATATTTGAAGACAGCTATCATATCCAGCACCATCCCGTAATCTTTTCTTCTCCAGGCTAAACATACTCATATCTTTCAATCATTATTCACGGGACTTGTTTAAATACTCTGTGCCATCAGCATCACCCTCTTGTGGACATGCTCCAGTTGGCCAATGTCCTTCCAAAAATGTGGCATCCAGGGGCAGAGCCTGACTCAGTGCAGAACAGAATGGAAGGATTCCTTCTTATGCTCCTGTTAATGCAGCCTAAGATTGCATTAGAGCAGGCATACCCAACCTGCGACCCTCCAGATGTTTTGGTCTACAACTCCCATGATCCCTAGCTAACAGGACCAGTGGTCAGGGATGATGGGAACTGTAGTCCAAAACATCTGGAGGGCCGAAGGTTGGGGATGCCTGCATTAGAGTGTTGTTCTTTTTAGCAGCTAGCTCATGTTCAGGGTGACACCTAGATCCTTTCCTCATGTACTGCTCTGAAGCCAGATCTCTCCCACAAGATACGTTGTTTATATGTTATTATATTTCAGGCTATACAGTCTTAAGCAAAACAGAAATGGCCTTACTGGGTACAGAAAAGTCCCTAAATAAAATAACTAGGCCAGCCACAATAAATGGGATTGTTTGGAAAATGTCTTCACAATTTGGATTCAGTTGTGAGTTGCAAACCTGAAATTGTAATAGAAATCCATCCTTCAATTCAAGTGGCATGCTTCACCACCTCCAAAATTCCTTATTATACAAATTAGACACACCAATATATGAATAGCATAGAATTTGCCTATTACATTTTGATACCTGTAAAAATAATTTTTTTAAAAAACAACCTCTCACACAGTCCTAGATATGTGAGATGCATGCTTACTCACCTGTGGTGACTAACTTGATGATTTGCATACCTGGAGAAGTTAAGCATCTCTGTCTAGAAAGAGCCTTCAAGGATAAAGCCGTCCTTCGGGAAAAATCTTAGGAACAGTTAAGCCTAAGAAGGAGGTGTGGGATGATATGTGTCACATTTTTAATTAGGAGTTCAGTCCCAATCTTAATTTGCATTTGTAGAGATGATATTCTCCAGAGTGATGGGGAAATAAATGTTTGGGGAAAGGTGGTATAAAATGCTATGTGTGCTTCATATGGGGGGGGGGGAGTTTTCAGTATTTGTCCCAATTTGAAAGAAGAATGTCTTTGTGCTCAAGACCTTCGATTGAGGATGCATTTTATAGCATTTGAGTGGGAATGGAGAGATTGATATGATTGATATCCACACTTTGTCTGCTGCCATGCTGTCCTCCCACCAGTAATCTTTACCATTTCTATGGGATTTGTCTTCAAATATAATGTTTTACCATTCGTATCCTGTTTTATCTGCCCAACAGTTGGGCATACCAGAATGAACAATAACCTGCTATCAGGAGCCACTAGTTGGCAGCACAAGTGACCAGCAGCTATTGCTGTGCATCCACAGTTCAACTCACAGCTGCCCTTGTGTAGTGAGCCTTCAAGGTATGTTCCTTGACACTGACTTCTAGCTGGCCATTGGTGTGATGCCTTGCTCAGCTTTAACAGCTGCCAATGACATAGCTCTGACACTTGCCCACAGTCACTTGCTCAGCTGAGCAGGAATGTGAACCTGAGTCTCAAGCCAGGAAGC